GCCCTCTCCCTAAATGATTTCACAGACTCGATCTTACTTCATTCTATCAACAGCCACATAAGGCTGATGTTATTTACCCGTCATCTGGCTGCAGACGGGAACGTTCAGAGGAGGTGGCTCACTTCGGATCACAGCCCCAAACGGCCGTGCAGCCTCATTTCCTAAAGCACAAGAACGTGACCGTGCATCTGCGTGCAGAGGCATGCCCGGGGAAAGGATAGCCAGTGACTGCGTGGTTCCCTCCAACGGACTGGCTCCAAAACATCCCCCCTTTGCACACGTCCCCAACCAGGCAGCTGCAGCATTTCAAAGCTCAGGAAATAAGCCCCAAGAATGCAATCAGTCTAAGACGTCTTTGGTTTATCATCCCATCCTGCACTTCTTTCTCTTAAGATGTTGCCAACTAAATAAAAGTTCAGACGGGGAAATCTAGTTACGTGCCATAGGTAGGACACTGGGGAGGGTTACGCAGCCTACGTGATGCCCATGAGTAGTGAGCACAGAAGTCACGAGGCCACATAACATCCTTCAGAGGAAGAGGTGGGATGCCTCAGAATTCTCCCATCCCTCCAAATTTCAGTCCTTTCCCTTACTTTCCTTACCTTCATTAATATCCACTCAATTATTGTCTTTTTACAAAGCTTTAAAACTGTGCGTGCATTTTCTAAATGCACTTATGCTGTACGTGGTAAGTTCTTCAGTAATCTTAACTGATCAATCTCTTAGGACTCTGTGCTTTCCCCACACCTGTACCAATAGGATGATGTAGAAGACCGTGACTTGGGCTATTTGTTCCCTTCCAAATGGCCTCCATACAATTTTTGCCACGGCGGATTCCTATTCAGCTGTGTGCAATCAAGTGATGCTGTATCAAAAAGCTGGGTAATTTTGTAATCAATTAAAATAGAGTTTGATTTCTCTAACGGGAGAGGCAGCCACCTCCCAAACCTGCCCCTTCATCAGAGGAGTCCTGCAAAGGCAGGCTCTCTTGAGAATGGAGCCCCCACCTCTTCCAAGCCACTTGCTCACTGACTGGCTGACCTCAGCCTCCCTCTGCTTTTATCTGTCTAGCCCACCGAACAGAGAAGAACATTCTTGCAAAGCTCCCACATACACCATAAATGATGCACTACAAAATTGGCTCCCTGGACTGTGATAGAGCAGACCAGCCAGAGCCAGGGTGGGCTGGGCCAGGAGGTCAACTTCAGTGACCAACCGGGACGAGAGAGACTCCAAGCAAGGGTCTCATGGAGTGTGGCTGTGACTCCAGAGAAAGGAGGAACATCTCTGACCTCTCCATCCCTCTGGGGTGGCCTGGAAAATGGGCACGGCTTCTTAAAGTTTCACAGCCCAGAGTCCCTGGGTGTCCCGTCTGATGTCAAGACTACTCTTGCAGCACGTCACTGGCAGGCCACGGCCTCAGCCCAGAAGCGATGGACAGATTCAGGTGGCTGGACTCCCCTGAGCTGATACTCATTAAGGGAGAAGGGCCGCCATTCAGCAGACCACACCCACTGGCAGGCACCTCCCCTGCTCTCTGTCCTCAAGTGTCCTCCCCTCCATTCACTCATTTCAGACCAGGAACACAGCCCTTCCAAGACTGACACTCATTCTATCCCTTAAAGTTCCAGCTCAGCTGCCCGTTCAGGTGAAGTTTAACTGGATTCCAATCCCGGGGGCCTTCCATGAGCTGGTCTGATTCACAGGAGGCAGCTGATCTAAACTTACATAAACTCTCTGGGGGTGGAAATACCTTCCTCACATGCCCGAAGTTCATTGCTTTGAAATTATATGATTATAGAAACTCTTCCAAAAACTTACGTGATGTCTAAGGACTCCCTGAAATGTAAATAAAATGAAGAAGCATAAACAGAAAACAATTAATATTTGCACCTACAGTCTTTGAAGAGCCAAGAAACGCAGCCTGCACGGCTTTTCAAGATAAGACAGAGACAGGGAGAACATCACGGAGCCCACGCCTCGGCCCACAGTCAAAAGCAGGAGGGGCTAACTGGAGCATGAGATTTGTGCTTCATGCCCCACCAACAAGTAATTATCTATGCTACTCATGCATCTCCTTCCTTTAAACAGACACCAAACATCTTGGAAGACAGCACAGATGCTGTGCAACAGGGAACAGAACATTCCCCCACCTCTGCACCAAACACTGTACACCAAGCCATTTGGGAGATGTTTGTGATGCGTCAGGATTTAATTGCTACTCAAGGTCGGAATAAAGTTTTATTGAATACAGCCACATCCATCTGTTTATTTACTGTCTACGGCTGCGTCTCCGCTAAAAGGACACTGTGGACTTAACCGTGACAGAGACCATATGCCCCACAAGGCCTAAAACATTGATGATTCGGTCCTTTACAGAAAAAGTTTGCCAGCCCTGGGGCTCGACATGATCTTTGGATACAAGGAGGCTTTGGAACTCTCCCATCTGCGGACATCAAAAATTTTCTACTTGAGGGGCGCCTGGGTGGCTCAGTCGGTTAAGCATCCAACTTCAGCTCAAGTCATGATCTCATGGTTTGTGAGTTCGAGCACCGTGTGAGGCCCTGTGCTGATAGCTCAGAGCCTGGGGCCTGCTTCAGATTCTCTGTCCCCTCTCTCTGCTCTCTCCCCAGCTTGCACTCTGTCTCTCTCTCAAGACAATAAACATTTAAAAAAAAATTTTTTTTTAATCTCCTGCTTGATATGACTCCTCTCCCACACCCTGTGGTTGCAGCCTGTCCTGACAAACACACCACACACACCACAATCTCCACACCTCAGTCGGCAGTGATTAACACATTACCACCCACCTGAACTGTCTCAAGTGCATGTGAGCACCAAAATCAAAGCAAGGTAGAGTGCAATGCAAACGTGGCTAGCCTGAGTTCCTGCTGCTTTCTTTTCCTGACATGTCTCCAGGACCACCTTGCCACCAAGGGGTCCACTCCCAGTCACCACGTGGTCTCTTCCTTCCTGCCTCCAGCCCTTCCTCCCTCGAGTGTACTTCGGAAGAAGTGTCCGACATCCAGCTCACACGAACAGGATGAACACAGCAGACTAAACAACAGAAGTGTCTGGTCATGCAGGAATTTTAGAATCTAAAGTCTCAGAGGTACACCGGCGGCTGGCACACGCTGAACTCAGCCTCTTGGCGGGGTTCCTTTATCTAAAGCACAGCGCCCTCACATGGCGCTGAGGGGAAGGACAGCCTTCTCGAACTCGGGAGGACTGGTGAGCCTCTCTCTGGCAGCTCTGCTGCCACCTGTGAAAGGGCCCAGCCTTCAACTCTGTGAGCATTTGGAGTCCAGGGTATCCAGATTTCCACCCTCAGCTCCTTCACAGATAACTCCTCGCTGGAAACTTTACACCACAAAGAATAAACTCTGACCTCCAGAGAAACTCACTAAACCACAGCAAATGGGATTCAGATGTTTCCATGTACAGTACAGTGATGTGACCTAGACTTTAAACACTTTGGCAAAAACAGGAAAAATGATGTGGGCCTTCCAGTCCCTCCCAGAACATGATACAGCCTTGACCCGAGTCCTACGGTGATCTGAGCCTTTCTCACTCCTTCTTAAGCCTCCTCACCCACAGCCCACATTCTCTGCCCCTGTTCCACATTAGCTCCTAACAGGCTTCCTCCACGGTCCGTTTTCCTTGTTTAACCAAAGACGTCAATTTCTCCCAGGCCAGCAGAAAGTAGATCATGCTGATGATGAACTCAGAAAAGTCCTGCAAGGAGAATCCGTGAAAGCCAATCCCAGGAAATCACCCCCAGAGTTCCTTTACATGGCTGGGAAGAAAGCAGAAGTCTTACATACAGACTTGGACCCCTGGGCTCTCCAGCTCTGCTGTAGATTCTCAAAGACTAGTTGTGTACTATGTGGGTAAGGGCTAGAGAATTCTAGACGGCGGAGCAAGGTAAGGCAGAGGTGGGGGGCAGCAATCTCTTCTGCCAGGGAAGGACAGATGCAAAACAGTATCAGGCCCTGCGTCCCCAGAGGCCGATCATGACAAGATAAACAACTGGTGCGTTTCATGCTCTGAGCCGATACCAAGCTTTGTTGCGGGGCAGCCCATCTGCCAGCCATGTGCACTCCTGGGGGCACGAGGGAGGAGCTGAGAAGCATCTGGCTGGGCACCAGCACACAGCAAGCAAATGGCAGCACAAACGGGGCAGGGGTGCACAAGAACGTCCTGGCCCCTCCAAGCACTGTGGCAGTGCCTCAAATGTAGCGGGGTAGGGTCCCCAGGGTGGGGTAGCTACTGCCACGGCAAGAGCGCTTCTGGGGACAGGAAGGGGGTCTTATCACCAATGGTAAGCACCCCTGGGGCCTGGCTGAGGGCGGCTACCAGACAAATACCTGCTTGCGGTATTATAAGGGAACAAGGGTAAGCACACTCCCTCTCTTGGATCTCCCCTTTCAGCTAAAAAGAGATGAGTGGCCTGTTCTGGAGCCCTCCAAACTTTCCTTCTCCGGGTAAAGCCTCAAAAGGATGGAAGGGAGTTGAATGCTCACTACCCTACCCCACATCCAAGAATAGATGAGATATACACCTGTAAGGGTTCCCCAGGATGCGCACACATACACACCTGTGCAGATGGACATAAAGAGTGTTCTCTCTACACCTGGGTAAAGTGCGCCTCTCAGTCCAGGCGCCTGACAGGTTTCATCTCCGCTAGACCCGTGCTCCCCTGGGCGGGCTGCTGTGTATGCAACCCCAGAACAGCTCAGTCCCTGTGCACTTCAGAGATTCAATACAGCCAGCAGAAGGCACTGGATAATCAGACGCTTCCTTTCCCATCCCCTTTGCTCAGACACCCTCTGTAAGGTCAGGGTAGGAAGAGGGGAGGTTCCCTCCAGACCGCAGGAGAACACCCCTGGAGGCTGAACTTCCCACCGAAGCGCCCCCACCCCCATCCCAACCTTCCCCAGGGACCACCCCTGACGCCACAACAGACAGACGCGCAGACCCGGAGGGGACACGGGCAGTACCAGGCCGCCGCCGGCGCCGCAGGCGCTGAGCGAGACGAGGGAACCGGGGTGGCCGAGTACGCGGCCCGAGTAGAAGCACAGCTCGGCGGGGCGTCCGCGGCGCCCCGCCGCGCCGGCCTCCTCCACCTCGAAGCCCCGGGACAGGAAACGCAGGTCGTGGCGAAGCTGCAGGTACAGGTCGCGCCCGAAGGCCGGCAGGTGCAGCAGCAGGGCGCGCTCGCCGGGTCGGACTCGCGGGGCAGCTGGGGGCGCGCGGGGGCGCCGGCGCTTTCGGGGCCCGGGGGCGCCGGGCAGCGGCGGCAGGTGCACGTCGTCGGGGCGCACCCGCCGCGGCAGCACCACCTCCACGTCGGCCGCCGCGTCGCCGACAGCTGCGGGGAGAGAGCAGACGCGTCAGCGCGGCGGGGCCCGCCCGGCCGCCCGCCCTCCCTCCGGACGCCCGCCGCGCACGGGGTCCAGCGCTGGGCACGCTGCGCCAGCGCAGGGACAACGCGGCCCCGGGCGGGCGCTCCCTTCCCTTCCCTCGCCCAGGCACCTCCGTGCCGGCCGGCGCCTCCGCCCGGGCCCCGCGCCACCCAGGGAAGGTCTCCAGCGCGGCCGCGCGGAGCACCTCCGGGGCCGGCGACGCGGCATAGGCATCCGGAGACCCGGCGGCTGCGCGGCCGCCCTGGAGCCGCCCGGAGCCCGGTCCTCCAACCGCGGCCCGCACCCCCTCGGCCCCGAGCGCTGTCAGCGGTCCGCCGCGGGTCCCCGGCCGCGCAGGCAGGCGGGGGCCGCCAAGATGCCTCGGGAGCGTAGATGGAAGGTGGCCGCGAGAGGCACCGGCGAGGAAGGGGCGGTGGGCGAAGGAGCGCTACCTGTGCCCGGGTCCAATCCCCAAACCAGCAGCAGCAGCAAGGGCAGGACGAGAGGAGGCAGCAGGGCGCCGTCACACATGGTACTTGGGAGGAGCAGCCCCCCAGAAGATCGTGGCAGAGTCTGAGCGCGCGAGGCGGCGGCGCCAGCCGGAGTGAAGCCCTCCAGCCTTTGGAAAAAGTAATTAGCGCTGCGGACAAACCCAACGTGGTAAATCCCAAGCCCCGCCTTCTCCTCGGAAAACAGGAGGCGATTGGACTCTCGCTTTCCCCTGCCCCGCCTCCCGCTTCCCCATTGGCTAGGACAAGTCTAAACCAGGGTGCGTAGTTAGGTTGTAAGCACTTTCTTACACGTGGTTTCTGGGCAGTGGCGGGGACGCGACACCAGGTGGCGCGAGGAGCCTCCTAGAGCTGCGCTAGCCCAGGGAGGACACCTGACTGGGTCTTCAGAGTTTGTCTCCTTGTCAAAAGGCTCCCTGACTCTGCTGCCCCGGGGCCCAAGAAGACAGGCCAGAAATCTTCCTGGACAACCGGTATCATCCATAAAACCATATTCTCTCCGCAAGTGGAGTAAAACTAATTTGGGTTGTTTGTAGCTGTATACTCCTTGCACACTTGATGTTTACATACAACACATTGGTGTTTATCCATGTTTACATACAACACATTGGTGTTTGTTTATCCATGTTTACATACAACACATTGGTGTTTATCCATGTTTACATACAACACATTGGTGTTTATCCATGTTTACCCCTCGTACCTCCTGGCCTCTTTATCGTCACAGAAGCCATTCGTACAGGCACGATCACACCCTCTTACACAGATTGAGAAACTAAAGGGAAGAGAGCTTAAGGAGCTTGCCAAGTTATCCAGTGAGTTTAACAAGCGCTAGAACGGGGTCCTGACTTCCAGCCCGGTGCTGCTTACAATAAACAGCAAGAGGCTTCAAAGGCAGGCAGGAAGCCATGTTAGCCCGATTTTATGGGTTAGGGAACTCGCACAAAGTGTCAAAGCCTGGACTTGAATCTTCCAGCAACAGAATGAGTTCATTCTTTTCCCACCAGAGTATAACTGCGATTTGCAAGAAAGATGATCCCTTTAGCTTCCTGAGGAGCATCTTGTAGAAAACAAAACAAAACAGAATTAACTGAAACACTCCCTGTTCTCGGGTCTCCCCGCTCCCCTCCTTGTCCTGCCTGTTACTGTTTTCTCAAAGCAGAGAGGTTACAGCACTCAGTGGATTCTGCTTGGGGCCTTTCAAAATCTAAAATTAATCAGAAGGAATCCAGAGGTGGGGAGCCTTGGGTGGTGCAGTTGGTTAAGGGTCTGATTGTTGATTTCCACTCAGGTCGTGATCTCTTGGCCCACATCAGGCCCTGCACACTAACTACGGAGACTGCTTGGGATTCTGTCTCCCTCTACCCCCCCCGCCCCCCCCTCCTGCTCTCAAATAAATAAATAAATAAATAATTTTTAAAAATAAAAGAAGGAATCCAGAGGTGAAAATTATCCAGCGCTAATGCCATTTAATTAACCCTGGGAGTCGACTGTGTTCCTGGTTCTCAACTGCTTTTACTGTAGCAAACTCACTGCTCTGTGTGTCCTCCAGGGTATGACCAATGGAGTCATTTCCTGCTCTGCCTACCCCTGCCCTCTACAGGGGCTGACTGTTGCTAGGCACTTAGCTCCACCGGCTGCCACTCACTGCTAGGTACCACATGTCCACACCGGTCCAAAAAAGTCTTGGAGCTTTTTCCCTCCCCCTTGACAGTAGCCTCGGCCCATTGCTGATGACCCAAGAATTCATGGTGAGCTTTTCAGTTTGTTAGTTTTGTTAGCAAAAGAGCCACCTCGCAGACCTGCCCCCAAAAGCCAGGGAGCAGCAGCCACTCTGCTTCGTAAGAACAATTACTTCTGCCATTTGAGGTAGTCATCATCGACCTATCACCTGATGTGCAAATGCATCAGTCCATAGGAGCATGCAATTAAAACACCAGCGAAATACTGTTCCATTCCCCAGAATATCCAAAACCAAAGAGCTTGGAAATAGCAAGACTTGGAGACATTCTTCTGCCCGTGGATGGGGGTGTAAATTGGCACAGCCAGTTTGAAGAACAATTGGGCAAGCCGTAGTCAAATCTGAACGCTACACACCCTACAACTTTGCAATTCCTCTTCTGGCTCACTACCACAGAGAAACACTGGCACACGTATAAGAATGTTCACCACAGTGCATTATGAAGAGCAAAAATATTCAAAACCTAAATATCCATCATTATCCATTACATAAATGACTAAATTATCAACTACATGCAATAATTTCAATTTATAACAACACAGAGAGAACTCTAAGACTGGTTGTCAAATTTTAAAAAATCAAATTGCAGAGTAATGCGCATGAAAATGACAATACTTCCATAAACACACACATTCTTAAATCATTTGTATGGTAAAATCATAGGAAATGTCTGGAAGGATACACACCAAACTTTTTTTAAAAGTGTGGTATTCTTTTTATATTAAGTTGCATGAAAGGATGTATGTCAGGGTCCAGGCGGGATAACTGCTACCATTATAGGTATTTCAAGCAGGGGGAGTTTAACGTGGAGAATTGATTACAAAGTTAGGAAGGGGTGAAAGCGTAAATTCCAGTGATTATATGCTGCCCCTGTCTCTGTGGTGCATTCCAGTCCCAGGGGCCTCTGTCTCCTGCTGCATTATTGAAGACACAGTCACAGCTGGTTCTGGATCTACCAGATGTGTGAAGTAGACCGCCTCTGTGCGCATTGCTACACTAGCAACTTCGAACACCAGATCCTAATCTCTGTTCTGTGCCATCTGATCTGTGAGGGCCTCTTTTGGCAGAATCCAACAGGAAGCCTAAAAAAATGTAAGGGAGCCACAGCATGTAGGTGGAAGACTTTCAGCCTCACCAATGAAAAGCAGAACTTAGAAACAAGATTGTGGAGCTGAGAGACAGACCTTCTAACGGTCTTACTCTGGCCTCAATGAGTCTAAATTCCCTTTGCCCCTCACCGTCATGTTCATGGGTCACCAGTGGAAGTTTAAGCCTCCCTTTCAAAATGATCTATTGATCCAATACAATCCCTATCCAAATTCCACTGGCATTCTTTCACAGAAATAGCAAAATCCCAAAATTCAAATGGAATCACAAAAGACCCCAAATGGCCAAAGCAACCTTGAGAAAGAAGGTATCCCACTTCCTGGTTTCAAACTACATTACAGGGGCACCTGGGTGGCTTAGAAGGTTAAGCGTCTGACTTTCGCTTAGGTCATGATCTCGCGGTTCGTGGGTTCGAGCCCCGCGTCGGGCTCTGTGCTGACTGCCACATCAGAGCCTGGAGCCTATTTCGGAGTCTGTGTCTCCCTCTCTCTCTGACCTTCCCCTGCTCACGCTGTCTCACTCTCTCCTAGAAATAAATAAAAATGTTTAAAAAAATAAAAACAAAAAAACTACATTACACAGCTAAAGTAATATAGGTAGAACAGCAGAGTTCTAGCATAAAAACCGACACATAGACCAATGGAACAGAGTCAAGAGCCCAGAAACAAACCCAGGTACTTCCAGTCAACTAATATTTGGCAAGGTAGCCAAGGACACTTGAGGGGAAAGGACAGTGTCTTCAATAAATGGTGATGGGAAAACTGGATATTCACATGCAAAAGAATGAAATTAGATGCCTATCTCACACCACTCACAAAAATCTACTTTAACTGGATTAAAGGCAGAAATGTAAAACTTGAAACCATAAAATTCATAGAAAAAGGGAACCTAGCACAGGGAATAAGCTCCTTGGTACTGTTCTTGGCAATAATGTTTCTGGACGACACCAAAAGCACAAACAACAAAGCAAAAATCAACACATGGATTTTGCATCCAATCTAAAAGCTTCTGCACAGCAAAGGAAACCATCGACAAAATGAACTGGGAGAAAATGTCTGCAAGCCATATATTGGATTAGGAGTTGATGTCCAAAATATATAGGGAAATCACACAACTTAACAAAGAATAATAATCCGATTTGAAATTGGGTAAAGGACCCAAATAGACGTTCTTCCAAAGAAGACCTACAAACGGCCAAATACATGAAAAGATACTCGGCATTGCTCGTTATCAGGGAAAAGCAAATCAGAACCATAATGAGATATCACCTCACACCTGTTAGGATAGCTGTTACCACAGGGACAAGAGATAAAAGAAGTGTTGACAAGGACGTGGAGGAAAGGGAACCCTCATGCACTGTTGGAGGGAGTATAAACTGGTTTAGCCATTAAGGAAAACAGTATGAAGGCTCCTCAAAAAATTTTAATTAGAACTGCCTTGTGATCCAGCAACTCCACTTTTGTGCACGTATCTAAAGGAAGACATTATACTAAGTGAAATAAGTCAGCCATTAAAAGACAAATACTATACATGTCCATGTATACGAGGTACCTAGAATGGTCAAGTTCACAGAGATGCAAGGTAGCAGGGTGATTACCACCTGTTGGGGGGAGGGGAAAATAAGGGGTTATTTAGTGGGTACAAAGTGTCCATTTGGAAATATGAAAAAGTTCTGGAGAAGGAGAGTGGTTATTGTTACACAATAGTGTGAATGTACTTAATGAACAATATACTTGAAATAGCTAAAATGGTAAATTTTATGTCACGTATATTTCCCCACAATAAAAGAATGCTTTAAAAAAGAAACCATTACCATTAGCTATGCTCTCATTTCATCTTAACACACACAAATTGCCTTGTCTTAATTTTGTGTAAGGGCAGAGATTAATCCCATTCCATACGTGCAGCACAGGACTCAAGGGGAGATTAAAATGAGACGAATAAGCAACAAAACGCCTACAGGTGGCAGTAGTGATCTGAATCTGATATAAAGAAAGTGGCCTTCCTGGTCTGGTGTTCAAAACAATTTGTTGTGCCCATAGTTGACAAAACTCAACTTTTCAGCATGTCCACCTGCTTTTTGTGAATGGCTCTATTCTGGTGGACAGTTGTCTTTTCCAATCATGTGGTCCAGCAGTGGACTCCCCAGCAGGTTGGGTATATTGCATCTCTTG